TATCAAAAAATTCAAAAAATATGGCTTACAAATTTAAAAGATTCATCTATGGAATCAAACAAGCATCTCGATAATAGTATTTCAAGTTTAATCAAGTGATCCTCTCATTTGATTTTGAGATAAATTTAGTTGATGATTATATATACTATAAGTTTTGTTGGAACAAGTATATTTTTCTTGTGTTACATGTTGATGATATTTTAGTTGTCAGTAATGATATAGACTTATTGCATAAGATTAAGAAATTTCTAGTTAAAAATTTTGATATGAAAGATTTTGGTGACACATCTTTTGTACTAGACATATAAATACATCGGGATTACTTTTGGAGTATTATTGGATTATCACAAAAAAGTTATATCAAAAAAGTTTTTTAAAAATATGACATTCAAAATTGTAAATCAAATGACACCGTTGTGACTAAAAGAAACGAGTTTAGTCTCAATTAATGTTTCATGAATACTTTTAAGAAAAAGAAAATGTAAAAGATTTCTTATGCATCAGTAGTAAGGAATCTAATGTATATTTAAATTTATACGTGTTCGGATATTACTTACGTTACTAGGATATTGAATAGATATTTAAGTAATCTAGCATTAGATCATTGCAAAGCAACTAAATGGGTCTTGCAATATTTACACAACTAAAAGATTACATGCTTACGTATCAAAGGTTGGAAAAATCCAAGATCATTAGGTATACTGATTTTGATTGTGTTGGATATCAAGATAGCATGAAATCAAGATTAGACTAAATCTACTTATTGGCTAGGGGTGCCATATCTTATAAGAGTATTAAACAGTTTCTTATAACCTCTTTTACAATGACTATAGAATTCATAACTTGTTATGAGACATCCAATTATGGAATTGAATTACAAAATTTTGTAACAAAATTACGTCTAGTGGATAGTATCGAAAGATCAATCAAATTATTTTATGACTATAAGTCAACAATTTAATATTATGAAAATAACAGGATCTCGACAAAATCAAAACATATCGATATCAAGTTCTTGGCTATTAAAGAAAAAGTACAAAGCAAATAGCTGTCTATATATAATATTAAAACAAATTTATGGTTACAAATCTGCTTCCTGAGAGATTGCCACTCAAAGTATTCTATAAGCATATTGTTTATATGGGTATCAAGTTATTAAGTGATGTTTAATTTTAGTGAAAGTTTGTTATCCTAAATGTTCTTATAACATTGATTTTTTTTTGGTTGTTAATATTTTAAGGATATCTTATGCATAAATAAAGTTTAAATTTATTTGCACTCCGATTTTAGTATGATTTGATCCCACAAAAGGTTTCAAGTGGACTAGTTAAATAGAGGCATGTTAAGATCATATTGTATGAAATTTTCTTACTATGCATCCACATTATAATTCATGTTATTCAATTGTATCAACATATGCGACCATTGATAGGTCGAGCTACGAAATAGTATTAAAAGTCACTTTGATCCTATGTTGGGGTCATTAACGAATTGAATTGGTTGTAGATATATTTTCATAATGACAGTAAAGTTGAGTTCACATGGTTAATTGTAAAGTATAATTATAAAATTATATATATAGTTCAAATGACAGATTGTTGAATCCGTAATTGTAGTACTACATAATTACTCTCTCTTGATATCTCATCATCAAGGGTGATACCAGAGAAACTAAAGGACTCTCTCAAAAGAACAACTAATGTGTGTTGATCAGTCAAACGATCGACTTGACTTGGCATTGACCGAATTCGAGTTGAACTTGAGATGTTCGTTTAGCTAAACGAGTTGAGTATCGATCACTTTTAGTTAATCTCGATAGCTCACGAGCATTGTCGAGCAGTACGTATTATATATATAAAAAAATATATTTATAATATATATATGTGTATATATATGTATGTGTGTGTTTATAAGGGTATAGTAAATTACATATATAGGTACTAAGTTCTTGCAAATTTTCAAAATACCTCGTTTTCTAATCGAGCTCGATTAGGTTCAAATCGAGCTTGATTTATAGAATTTCAAAGCAATGGAGTCGAGTTCGATCTTGAACAATGCTATAGCAGGTCGAGCATGAACTCTAGCATAGCACTGTTTGGGATCGATTCAACTAGTTTGCACCCCTAGGCATGCTTTTCACAATTTTGTTGTTGATTTATTTCTCAGTAATCACCATAAATATTATAGGTTTAATAGGTGATGACTTTCACTTTAGGTTAATATAAACAACCATTAACAATCATTGGATGTAATTTGATTGCAACTTTATTCATATTTTATGATAAAAAATAGAGTAGAAAATTTAGAGTCTTGGATTTCTCATTTGATCCTTTGATTTGTGTTTGCATGGTGATTTTAATTTGATTTGAAGTTTGGGACTTGGTTGAAATGATTTGAGAACTTGATTGATGCCAAATTCAACTTGTAAAATTTGTTGAAATAACTTTCCAACAAATTAGGGTGGAAAATCTACAAAACCCATTAGGAAAAATGATGGAATCTGATAGAATTCGGTCAAAATTCAAACAAAAAATTGACCAGGGACTAGAAGCGAGCATTTTATATTGTTAAGGACTAAAATTGTTCATTTTGATTTTGAGGGACTAAAATTTCATATTATTAATATGTGAGGGTCGATTGGTTAGATAAATCCAAGATCATTAGATATACTGATTTTGATTATACCAGATGTCAAGATAGTATGAAATCCAAGATCGTATTTTTTAGTACTATATAATCACTCTCTCTTGATATCTTATCATCAAGGGAGATACCAGAGAAACTAAAGGACTCTCTAAAAAGAACAACTAATGTGTATTGATCTAGCAGGCTATCCCAAGAGTCTAAAGATTCAAGTACCACTCAATCAACATGAATTTAGGTACGCTTAGGGGTGCAAATGAACCAAACAGTTCACAAGTTGCTCGCTAGCTGATCAGTCAAATGATTGACTTGACTTGGCATTGACCGAGTTCGAGTTCAACGTGAATTGTTCGTTTAACTGAACGAGTCGAGTATCGATAGTAGTACGTATTATATATAAAAAATATATTTATAATATATATGTGTATATGTGTGTGTGTGCGCGCGTATATATAAGGGTATAGTAAATTACATATATAGGTACTAAGTTCTTACAAATTTCCAAAATACCTTGTTTTCTAATCGAACTCGATTAGTTTCGAATTGAGCTTGATCTATAGAATTTCGAACTCAATGGAGTCTAGTTCGATCTTGAGCAGTGCTATATTAAGTTGAGTATGAACTCTAGCATAGCACTGCCTGGGATCAATTCGACTAGTTTGCACCCCTAGGTATGCTTTCACAATTTTGTTGTTGATTTATTTCTCAGTAATCACCATAAAGATTATGGGTTTAATAGGGGATGGTTTTCACGTAAGGTTAATATAAACAACCACTAACAATCATTGGATGTAATTTGATTGCAACTTTATTCATATTTTATGATAAAAAATAGAGTAGAAAATTTAGAGTCTTGGATTTCTCATTTGATCCTTTGATTTGTATTTGCATGGTGATTTTAATTTGATTTGAAGTTTGGGATTTGCTTGAAATGATTTGAGAACTTGATTGATGCCAAATTCAAGTTGTAAAATTTGTTGAAATAATTTTCCAACAAATTAGGGTGGAAAATCTACAAAACCTATTAGGAAAAATGATGGAATCTGATAGAATTCGGTCAAAATTCAAACAAAAAATTGACCAGGGACTAGAAGTGAGCATTTTACATTGTTAAGGACTAAAATTGTTCATTTTGATTTTGAGGGACAAAAATTTCATATTATTAATATGTGAGGGTCGATTGGTGCAATTTTTCCTTTAACGAACTTGGAATTGTGTTTAAGTTTGATTTATTTATTTATCGGATCGGATTCAACCGAACATTTAGAGCTGAGTTTGAGTTAAGCTCAAGTAGCTTGTATAGTTTACTTATAAACTTGAATTTGAGAAAATTATACAAATAGTCCCACATATTGACTTTGCACCTTTTACGTCCCTCGCATACAAAATGATAATTTTTTTGTCCCTTACATATTGACTGTGTACTTTTTACGTCCCTCACATATGAAATAATGATTTTTTTGTCCCTCACAAATGAAAAATGTATACTTTTAGTCCCTTGGTTCATTTTTAAAAATATTCTTCTCTAAAATAAATCATACGCATCTCATGCCTTACAAACTTTAGGGTCAAAATCAGAAGATCACAGGAAAAAAAAAAAAGAAAAATGCCCTTCACACTTCTTTCTACTTTGTCTTATTTTTATAGTCGAGAATATGACACCTGTCATAGTTCCTTCGCCCTTGTGCTTGTGGTGTAGTCATTGGCTACCATCACTTTTCGTCACAATAATTCACCAAAATTTAACTCTCTACTCAATTTTTCAGTAAAATATGATTTTAATATTAGTTTTATAAAAAATAAATGAATGTGGGCAAAAAATATTTAAAAAAAACACTGGTGAATAAAATTTCATTTCAATATTAGTTTCTTTTTTTTCTAAAATCATACAATTAATAGAAAAATCACTAACATTTTTTTCGATATTAGTTATGTTAGATTCTATCTGCCAATCTTTTTTTTTATTCATTTTTTTTGAAAATTTAATATTAAAATTAGATTCTACGCAAAAAAACTTGAGTGAAGAGTTGAATTTTAGTGAAATTTTGTGATAAACAGTAGTTGTGGCTGATGGTAACACCAATAGCATGTAGCCAAAAGCAATTGATGCCACATTCTTGGATAGGAAAATAAGTTGAAGAATAGATGTGAGGGACATTTTTCTCTTTTTCCTTTGATTTTTTGACTTTGCTCCTAAAGACGTGCATTACAATACTTAAAAGATTCTCCTTGTGATGTCCCCACTTCTCCCTAAGGTGAACCAAAAGGTATCGGCAGGATGCCTGCCCAACTCTTGCCAGGACTCAGTACAATTCCAGTTCAAACTTAAAGGATAACGACTAATAATGAAAGTCGAAATAAAGACAAGAAGTCATTTCCATACATGAATATTCAATCTTACCTCATAAGTTTCAAAGTACATCCACTTTCCCAAAATATACAACTTCCAAAAGATATCTAGTCAAATACATTCAAAACTCTGATCAAAAGTGCCTCAAGTCGGCTTCTCCATAACTCTTTCCAATTCGGCCCCTGTTAAGAAAAACAAATCTAATGGGATGAACTAACGCTCAGTGAGGCTAAGAAAACATGCAAACACATAGTTCAAGTAACAATAGCATTTAAGCGAGAAATAAAGCTATGACATTTAAGCAAATTCACGATTTTCAATTAAACACATTCAATGAGCATACAGGAGCTCTCAGGAGCTAGTTTCCACTTGCTACGCCAAGACTCGATCAAATACCTCCCCGCGATGACACTCCGTCAACCGGAGCGGCATTAGGTCCGTAGAACTCCACTTTCTTCATAATTCTGTCCACCATTACAACCGCCCCGGGCCCGCACTTCTATAAAAGACACTACTACTCGAGTAGGCCAAGCGAGATCTCTTAATAGATCAAGATTACAGTTATCTCATGTTCATCGAGCTTCTCGACCAAGCCCTTGTTGGCTCGAGTCGCAACGTCGGCCAATTGAGATTTGGGCGTCCCCCAATTCAGTTATAGGTCGAGGAGATTCACTCCAACGACATCCAGTCATCCAAACATAATTCAGTTAGGAGCAGTTCAATTGTACCATCAGTTATGAGCAGTTCAGTTGTACCATCGGTTAAAAAAGAACGAGTGCGATAACGTACACACTCGACTCAACAGTTATAAACCATTCAATCCATAATAAGCAATTCACATAATTGCAACAAATCATGCACTTGAAACTCACCAAATCACAATAAGGGAGTAAGTGCAAAAGATCTTTAATGGTCGGCTCCGGGATTCTCTTCAAGATCCTCTTGAGCACCTGGAAATATAACAATTAACTATTACCCATAAATACTTACAAAATCCTTACCAAACAAGGAAGAATGTACGTTCGTTTTCCAATTAAAACAATGTCTCGAAAAATCTCAATATCTCGAAAATTGAGATTCAAAAGTGAGGGTTTAATAACAAAAGAGAAACTGATTTCCTTCGTGAAATCGATTTTAAAACAATCAATCAATATCAAAGATTAGTGAAAAGTTTCCCAAAACTCATTTCCCATCAAGTCGGAAAATTTCAGTTTTACGCGTCATATTTAGAAAAAATCAGAACTTGCACTCAATAGGTCCAAAATTGGAAAACTTTACACCGTTGGAATCAATTAAAGTTCCTAGAGGACATTTTTCCAAGATTCTAAATGGAAGGCATTCAATTTTTAACTCAAAGTGGCTGATCTGAACAAGCAAGGCAGTTTCAATCATGTTTTTTGGCAATTTTTGAAAATTCGGCAAAATTCATAGAAAGTGAACTAACCTTTGAAATTTGTAACACAATATGAGTTCCTAACAAAGTTTCAAACAGGACAAACGGAACTAAATTCAGAGTTTTGAGAGTAAAGATATAGCAGCTTAAAGTCGGTAACTTTCACCACTGGAACAGTGAAATTTCCAGATTTGAAAAGCAAACTTTGGAACATCATTTGGGTATCGACATGGTCTTCGAATAACACCATACACTTAAACTTCCCTATGAGGACTACTTGTATATCAAATTTCATGTAAAAAATCACGTGGGAAGGTAGTTAACAAAACTACCAAAATTTAGGAAATTCTTAAAGCAAATCTGTCCTCTTGCTTTCTTTTTCTTTTTCAAACATTTTGCACCATGAAATCAGTTCCAATTTAGTTCAATTGTGAAGCTAAGGTCTTATAACATCTAATAAGTAATTGGTAGGTAATTGACACCAAAATTTTTGAAACAAAACATCCCAAACCGAACCTAACCATTCGACTAAGAGAAAGATTTCCAGATTTCCAGCCTTGTCACAGTTTGGAAATTGAACCATATCTCACTCAATCCATCTTGAAATTGAGAATGGTTAGTGGTGTTGGAAACTAGATTCAAAACTCTACATTTCATCAGAACAAGTCATTTTCAAAATCATTTCACAAGTGAGAGAAAATAGAGCCACAAAATGAAGCTTCTACTTTTCTCTCGAACAGACCATCAGAACAGAACAGCAATTTGGCGAATCACTACGGCTCACTCAGTTCGAACTAGAGGGTAAATTTTATACTGTTGGAAAGCTACAAATGTATAGTTTCAAATTCCACAAACGGCACTCAATTTCGACTTTTGTACAAAGAGTTAGGCTCGATCAAAGGTACACTGTTCAGACAGCCTGAACATGTTTTCCAAATTTCTTCCAATTTCTAAATTTCAAGTTTTACTCAACCAAATCAAATGATTTTTGGTAGAAACTTTCTACACACAATATCCAACATATATCTACCAATTTCACAGCCAAACAACCAACAAAAATTTGAAAGGCATGCACGAAATTCACTGGACAGATTCGGCCAGTTTCATACACCAACTTCCTTCGGTTTTTTTTTTCTTCACTCTTTAACCATATACATCTCATACAACACATAACCAATATTAAACAAGCATTTAATCCTCTGGGCAGCTACCTAGAAGTCTCCTCAAGGCCGCTATCTTAGAGATTAAAAGAAGATAAAGTGAGTTCCTCAAGTCCTCTACCTAATTTCATGCTTAGGGTTCAAACCCTTGCAAATCCAACCGTAAATCTTGAAGGAAACGGAAAGGTTGAAGAGTTGATGGATTTACCTCTTGAACCCTTGAAGAACCAGAAATTTCCACCACTAAAGCTCCAAGAAATCCCCCAAGACGAAGCCTTCCTCCAAGCTCAAGTTAATCTCCAAGTAGTAAGTGAGTTGGGTGGTGTTTTGTGAAGGAAATGGAAGCTAAATGGTGCAATATGAAGTGGAGCACTTCTTCCTCTTTTCCTTGCTGTTTTGGCTGAGCTATGGAGAGGAGAGAGAGAGACGGTTTTGTGTTGTGAAGCTTCCTTTGGAAGCTTGAGGGATTTGTGGCAAAAAATCTAACAAAAGTCAACTAGGAATAGTGTCGCGCGCGGGTGTCGTACCACCGTTTTCTCTCTTGTTTGTTTCACTTGTGTACTAATCCTCAAATGTAATTTCTTTAACAATATAATTATTCACTCTTAGTAGTCTAGTATTAGTTTCTTAAATCTCCACTTAACCGTTTTGACACGAAATACGCGAACTTTCGATTCGCGCGCGATAAGGCGAAATTTAGGAGTAATTCATGTAACGACAATACAATTAACTAATACTAGGGTAAATAATTATAAAAATAATTATTTTAAGAATAAAACATGAATCCTCACAAGTATTAATTTCTCAAATCTCCAATTAGTTTGTACTGGCGCGACTTTTGGGAAACTATCGACGCGCGCGCGGTAAAAACTTAACTTAAACTCACTCACCTCTAATCCCTCCATTAACTTTTCTTAGCCTACTATTGATCATTCTTAATTCTCCATGATTATTGCACTCTCGGATTGAATATCGCTTCGAAAAATGTGTATTCGCTATTCCTTATTAGACGAGCTGCAGAAAATTAAATTTGCTAACGGGACGTTTTAAAAATATAAGTGAGGCATTGTTCCATGTAAATGGATGTAAAATGGTTGAAATAAATTATTCGGAGAAAATAGGTGAATAAATAATTAAACAAGCCAATAAAATAAGATAAAATAAGAAAATTTTTGAGTTCTCACACTCCTTCTCTCTAGAACACTTTTAGTCAAATATCTTTTCTCTCCATAGGAGAAAGAACAAATCTGGTGTTTCTCCATTGGAGGGAGCCCTCTCTCTAGTTTCTAGTTTTTTTTTTTGTGTGAATAAATTCAGTCTTAAAGTTTTTTAATGGGAGATTCTTCTCTTCTAAGATCTATGAGTGAGAGTTTTATTTTCTCATAAATTCTTCTAGTGAGAATTTATTTTCTCTCCTAGTTTTTTCATTGTGAGAATTTTTTATTTTTATTTTTTTTAATGAAATTTGAGATTTTGTAAATCCAAGATCTAGTTTTTAGATGTACAATTTCTCCATTATTGTTAGATCTATTTTTTTTGGATTTGAACCAATTTTAATCAGATCTGACTGTCAGAAAACATGCACAGATGCATTGAGTTACAATAATTTATCTGGATAGAAGATATGTAGGAGTATCAATGTTATTTATTTGTGCTGATTTCTTAAATTGATTATATCTATTGATTTCAGATCTATATATATTTGTATCATGTTTGTTTGATGTATTTTCTGTCATTTGTGCAAATTTATTAAATGAAATGATCTTTTCTATTAAAAAATATTTAAAAGATTAATGTCACTAGTAGTTATAGAACTTATTCCAATACAGCACATAGTGCTGATCTCTATTTTGATGCCTAATAATATATTTATATAAATACCACACTATTTTTTATATAAAAAAAGGACAATCAATGTCAGAATTTTAAATTTATAGACAAGTAACTTGAATATAGATATATTATTGTCAAACATAATAAGAAGGTTTCAAGCTCAAACTTAGCTACAACATTGATTGTGATTCAAATTTAAGTAATTTGTAGGATCACACTATGAGTGTATAATCATATGATATCATAACAGTAATACAATCTAAAAATTGATCTAATTATCTTACAAAGTTTTTAAGGAATTTAGATCCTGTGTCAGACCCCACAATTGGATAATCTAGTCTTATTTATAAAGGAGGATTTCTTGGCATGATAAAGCACTCAATAAATGCAGTTCATCCCACTAGCATAATTATAGTTATATAATACATGATAGGGTTTGGGAACATATGTGCCCAAGTGTGACTAGTTTGTGTAGACTAAATGCCATAAAATTTTTAGGTATTTAAAATACTTAGAAAATTAGAATAAAAAATCTCAGTATTGTTCTCTATGACTAAATTATGCTAAGTCTACTTTTGTTTAGAATTTTTCTAATCATACAATCCTACTAACTTAGACTCTTAAAATTAAACCTTGGTTTAAAAACTCGAAATTTGTTGTTCAGGAGGAAAGCTGACTTATTACCCATTAAGAATTTGGCCTTTAAAACTATTTTTATTGAATCCAAATAGGGTACTTCCTTATTTACATGCAATATCATTTAGGTAAATGCCATTTACTTAAATGATATTACACGGAAATAAGTCCTGAATGCTGATAATCTAAAGTCTGAATACAATTTATTCAAACCTCAAGTACCCAAAGACAATTAGTTAAAACATTTTACCACATATCCAAACACTTGTCTTTCATCTACCACGTGTCAGGTCATGCAACTCTTCTCTGCCACGTGTCATCTTGTGATGACACTTGTCAACCAGCACAACACGTGTGACATACTGAGGTGAAACGTGTTATCATCTTCTGGCGTTGACTCATCTTTTTCATGAACAAATATATATAGCCCTCTTCTCATTTGTACATCGAAATCTAGGAGCACTTACCTATACTCAAAGAGGGTAAGAAAGTAATCTCAGAATAAAAAGGATAGAGTGTCCTAAAAGATATGAAAAGAAGGTCATAATAAGAAAATAGTGTTAGAAAAAGGTCAACGTTACCTAACAATAAAAATATCTAAGTGAGTGCCTATTCACATTCATGTAGATATATACTGTGTCCATATACATATTATAATGCCCAAATATTGTTGTATTATAAGTGTATAGTTTTAGATCTACTCTCCATATAGTAATTATGTTAAAACCAAACCAAGTGAAATTTAAGATTACTACTCTTATGTGTCTAAATACTTCCATAACCCACGCTCTTATTTTGTTTAAGTGAAAAATGACCATATATGATTAATGTACAATTATTATATCAAATACATGATGATTATACTTGATCATTGAATCAGTTTACAAGTGATTTGAATCATTTGTCAGTTGTGATTT